TGATTAAATACTTTTCTTGTCAGACACATTGGAATCTTAGACCTAAAAATATCCTTCATATTTCCAGCAGCCAAGCGAGATTTTTTCTTCTTTTCAGATCGATTGTTTGGTTGTCTCTACTTATTCTGATCTCATGGCCCAAGTATTTATAGGAGTCAACTGGCTCAATATCTTTTTCTTCTACTGAGATGTTTTTGTTGTGGACTAAATTTGTCATAAATTGTGTTTTTGAAAAATTTATTTTAAGACCAACTCTTTTTGTGGCAGTATGGAGTTCTTGGAGCATTATCTGTGTCTGATCAAAGCTGTCTGCAATAAGAATGATATCATCTGCAAATTTAAAGTTATTTAAAAATTTTCCATCTACATTGATGGCATTTTAGTTCCAATCTATTGTTTTACAAGCGTATTCTGGCAAAGTTGTGTAGCTGGTAAAATTAATATAGTTAGTTAACATTTGATAAAAACTAGCAGTTTCTTATTTTACTTATAAATAGATTACAGTAAAATTATAAAAATATTTCTATACACCTCACAAAATTATGGACTTCCCACAAGGGTTATTCAAGGGGTGAAAAATTACTAGGGTGGTAATAAATTTGTACAAACCTAGAAGAACACTGTGGTATATGAAAAATATTTTTTACTCGAATATTGAGCTTATTAAGCTAGCGGTAAAGTCTTAAAATAATATTGATTAAGGGGTGGAAAATTATCAGAGTGGTTAAAGTTTAGTAAAAATTAAACAAAACACTTTTTTTATTTCAGTTATAAGTAGAGGACAGTAAAATTGTAAAAGAAGATATTTTCAGCTTAAATTTTAACCTAATAGAATTATTGATTTTCCAATAGGGACAGTTGATGGGTAAATAATTACTAGAGTGGTAATGAATTCGGAAAAACCTAGCAGAAGACTAATATTTCAATTTTTTTTTCCAATTTCGCTGGCTCTAACATTAAACTAGAGGAAACGGTTCCAAGTAAGATTAGGGGTGGAAAATTATCAGGGTGGTCAAAGTTTAGTAAAAACTAAACAGAACAATTTTTATTTCAGTTATAAGTAGAGGATTGTGAAATTGTAAAAAAATATTTTTTTCCTTAAATTGTAACCCAACAGAATTATTGTCTTCTCACAAGGGGTAGTTAAGGGGTAAAAAATTATTGTGGTGGTCATAAATTCGTAAAAACCTAAGAGAACACTAGTATATTATAAATATTTTTTTATTCTGTTAGCTTGAATATTAAGCTAGCGGAATCGCTCACATTAGGGGTAGGTTTGGTGGTGAAAAATTATTAGGGCGATAATAAATTGGTAAAAAATTAGTGAAAACATATGCCATGGGTAAAAAGTTTTTTTTTTTTTAATTCTGATATCTTGAACCTTAAGCCAGCAGAATCGCTTCCCTTAAGAGTAGTGTGGTGGTGAAAAATGGTGAAGTAATAACAAATAAGTGAAAAATGGGTGAAAAAATATGGCACAAGTTAAATTGGATTTCGCTCATATGTCCCCGCTAGCTTAGGGGTCCTTTATTTTCAGTTCAATGAAGCCGGTGGATATGGGTCCCTTAACAATTGTACCGACCTGATTGGTTGTCTTAACGATGTCTTTCATCATTCAATCTACGCTTATCCACTGGTGGACATAGGTCTCCCTCATAATTTTCCATCTATTTCGATCTTGTGCTTCTTGCATCCAATTCCAATAACAACGTTTTAGATCGTCAGTCCAACGTATTGGTGGACGACTTCTGCTTCGGTAGGCATCATCTCTTGGTTTCCATTTCAGTATTCGCTTTGTCCATCTATTATCTATCATTCTAGCCACGTGACCTGCCTAGTTCCATTTCAGTGTTGCTACTCTCTCTACTGTATCAGACACTCCTGTTCTTTGTCGTAGCTGGCGATTTGGGATCTTGTCTCGTAGTGAAACGTCCAACATAGCACGCTTCATCGCTTGTTGACACACACGGATCTTTTAAACTGTTCTCTTTGTCATGGTCAACGTTTCCGCATTGTAAGTCAACACTGGCAAAACACACTGATTAAAGGTTTTTCTTTTAAGGCATATTACTATATCAGACGATTTGAAAATATGGTTCAGCTTGCCGAAGGCTGCACAAGTCAGTCTCATACGACGGAGAATCTTAATGGTTTGGTTATATTTTCCTATGCGGATCTTATGACCTAGGTATTTATAGGCCATTACCTGGTCTATGGATCTTGTTTGATTTGTAAGATTTGTCATCATCTGGGTTTTAGGTATATTTATTTTCAATCCCCCGTCTAGCGAGGAAAGGTAGAGCTGATTTAAAAGTTCTTTGGCTTCATCTATCCTATCAGCTATTGGTACAATATCATCTGCAAACCTTAGATGGCTGAGCTTTTCTCCGTTTATGTTTATGCCCTTGTCGGTCAGTTTTGCCCTTTTTCATATATATTCCAAAAGCGTAGTGAACAGTTTCGGCGATATGGTGTCCCCCTGGCGTACTCCACGTTGTATCGGAAATTTCTGGGTTTGACGATCACCCATTCTAACAGTGGCTGTTGCGTTTTGGTATATGTGTTTAATTATATTTATATACCGATAGTCACTTCGGCATTCTGTCAAGGCTTCCAACATTTTTTGTTGATTTACGGTGTCGAATGCCTTTTCATAGTCGACAAATATTAAAGTTAGTAGTTTATTATATTCAGTGCATTTTTCCATAAGATTTTTTATTACCAGTAAGTGATCGTTTGTTCCATAGAGCCTTTTCTAAAACCTGCCTGTTCTATAGGCTGATAAAATTCCAATTTATTTTCTAATCGCTTCTTAATTATTTTTGTAAATAGTTTATAAATATGTGAAAGTAGACTTATGGGCCTGTAATTCCTGAGGTCGGTAGCATCCCCTTTTTTATGAAGTATGATAATTTCTGCGTTATACCACTGGGTTGGTGTTATTGCTTCTTGCAAACATCTAGTAAATAGTTTGGCAAGAACCTGCCATAATGTTTTTCCAGCCACTTTCAAGGCATCTGCCACTATTTCATCGCCTCCGATGGACTTATTGTTTTTCATTTCTTGCACTGACCTTCGAACTTCATTGGGTGTTACGTCCGGTAAAATTTCAGATCCCTGATTGATTATATTTGGTAATGATCCACTCCGGTTACATTGCTGTTCTTTGTATAGTTGTCTATAAAAACTTTCTATCGTGTTCATAATTTGAACTCTATTCTCAATGATTTGCCCCAGTTCATTTCTTAATTTGTGGACGTTTTTTTATTCCGATGGACATGCTCTATCTTAGTACATTCAAGCTTTTGTTTTCTTTTACTACTCTAGTTATTTCCATCCTATTGTATCGTCTCAGATATTTTCTAACTTTCTTTTTAATTTTCTTATTCAAAATTCCTAGTTCATTTTGGTTATGATGCTGATTTTCCCTAAGTTTTCTTCTTTCTTCTAGAAGATGTTTTGTGTTGTGGCTTAATTTTTTGTTATTGTTTTCAGGACAGGGACAGTATTTCTTTTCAGCTTCTTTCAATATTTGAGTAATATTATTGTTCATTTTATTGATGCTGATATTCTCTAAGTCGTGTGTATCCAAACTAGTCTTAATATTGTCTTTGTAAAGTGTTATATCTTCTGGGAACATCCACCTTTCACTTTTCTTTTTGAGGATCATTTTTGTTCTTTATGACACCTGAAAAAGCAGTTTAAATATAGATTTGGAATATACCAATAAAACTTAGATAATTTGTTTTAAATGAATAAACTGCAAGTACTAGTTTAGTAAGTAAAACGAAAAAAAAAACAAGTAAATTTATTTAAATCGTTTTATTTCACTTATTATATACAGTAACGAGAGCAGTGAAAAATAATACAATGCATTGAAAAAACGATGGTAAAACTAATGAACACACAAAAACCTATAAAACCTTTTTTCACATATTACAAAACCAAACTAGAACCAAAAATTCATAAATAAAAATACATACATGTATGTGTCTATAAATAAATATGATAATCGCGATAAAACTATTCACAAATTAAAAATGAAATGATTAACTAAATCCTTGAGTAATATTGTTTGATCAGTTCCCAACTCTCCCTAATCACAGGAAGTTTGTACATTTAAAGTTATAACAAAAAGGAGTTGTTTTCAGGTTTGGTAATATCATCATCTTGACCCAAGAAATATATATTTAATTTTAAATTTTAATGTTTGCATATATTTAATACCATTTGGTACATCATTTAAATGAATATTATTTAGTAAATATTAAATTTTTTTTTAGTATGATTTGCATATGTTTAGTAAAAAGTATAGTAAAGTTTCAATTACTAGATAGAAACAGGAAACCTAGTTCTTGAATAAAATCAACGAAATAATTGGACAGTTAACAAAATATTCAATTAAGACATTTAGACATTCTTCCATCGTATACATAAAGGATACTATTAAAATTTCATGATGGTCAAAAATTCAATAAATTACTGTATTAATAACATCATTTTAATATTTTGTTGAGTTTATACCTTTTATTGGAGCATAGCATTATGAATTTATTGGTTTCAGAACCATTTATGAGTTAGAAAGAAAAAGATTTTCAAACAAGATAGAATATTTTGTAAATAACCAATTCCCGAATGCGTCCTCGCTCCAGTTTTTGTTTAAATATATGCACAGACAGTAAAAGTAAGCCAATACCTTATCTGAAACTATTGTGAAGGTTTTAAAGTGAAGTACTGATTTAATAGCGTTGATAATTCAATTTAAAAATCAAGATAGCCTTAAAAAATTAAAAGGTGATGTCATATCAAATTGAAATAAAGTCAACTAAGGCCAAGGTTTGTAGTCATTGCATTTTTACGATCCTTTAGTTCAGTTGTTTTAATATTATATTATTGATATAAAAAATTAGCCTATATAAATAAGTTATTTGAGATTTCTTTGTTTTAGATTCTATCCCTAAGCTCATAAAATTGGATTGTTTCAAAGAATTGTTCCATATTCATTCATTTAGTTTAGATACTGTTATCCAAATTCCTCCTTTAACGCCCAAAATAAAAGCATTCGTATAGGCGTATTTAATTGGAAGTCTGGTCTTTTGATGAAGTCCTATTCTGAAGTTGCTTAAAATTATTGATAGCGCTACTTTGCATTCTAATATACCAAATCTGGAACCTGTAAAAGAAATTAACAGTATTAGTCATTTATTTTAAGATTTTTTTCTAATACAAATGTTTCACGTAACTCTTAAAACAAAATTACCCATCATGTTATTAAAAAGAACATGAAAATAATAATATTTTAGATAGAATAGTTAGGTAATAAAAATTAGAGTGTAATGCAAAATGTGCAGGTCTATTATTATCTACTGTATCCACACAATGACAAGTTTCTAATTTAATAGCAAAATTCGTGGCAGAAGGGGTAATAGTTAAAGGTTTTTTGCTTTAAAGCGATACTAACGTTCACTTATGGATATAACGCTTATGCTTATTATTCAAGATACTTTGTAAATTAAAAGTTAAAATGCATTTTTTTCTACCAGTATATAAACGATAAAATAAGAAAAACCATATTATTAATTTTAAAATCTTCATTTTAGTTTCGATTTAACATACAATAGAATAATAATAATAATAATATTAACAGGCAACATTTCTAACCAGGCATACACCAAAAAAACGAACCTCTTCACTGTCTTTATTGACTATAAGAAAGCCTTTGACCTTCTTAAGACATATAATGACAAATTGGAAGACTAAAATTCACCTCCAAATACCTGGTGAAAACAATATCGAAACGGAAAATATCGCAATTAACCGCGGCCTCTTCCAAGGAGACTCGCTAAGTCCCTTGTAATTCTGTCTAGCGATGAACCCACTATCCCAGCTATTGAACTCCACTGACTTAGGTTTTAGCATTAAAAACAACAACATTGTAGTGGCGAAGCTTAATCATCTGTTGTATATGGATGATTTGAAACTAATGGCTTCCACTCACAAATGATATCAGTATGCACTTTGGGTTAGACAAATGTCGTGTACTAAATATAGTCAAGGGAAAGGCTCAGCCCGGGGGATTCGATATGCAAAATGGCCAAAACATCCAGGCTATGGGAGAAAATGACATGTATAAATATCTAGGAGTAAAGCAAGCGCGGAAAATTGACCATAAACAAATGAAAATCGAATTAACATCAGAGTTCATACAAAGGGTAAAACAGCTACTCCGCTCACACCTTAAAAGTAAAAATTTGTTTAAGGCATTAAACACCTACGCATTTTCCGCGCTACTCATTTGGCATTATTAAGAGGACTAAAATGGATATAGAAAGTCTTCAGAGAAAAGTACGAACACACCTCACAAAGGCACAAAAACACCATCCTCGAAGTGCAGTAGAAAGAACGACATTACCACGGTATTTAGGAGGACGAGGACTTATTGATATAAGTGAGCAATTAGATAAACAGATTTATAATTTAAGAACTTATTTTCAGGTACAGGCGGAGACATCTACTCTTCATCGCGCGATTTGCGCAGTAGATGACACAACACTGATCAACCTGAGGGAACAAGAAATGCGCATAAACCATCTTACTAAGAACGAAAAAATGCGCATCTGGATGGGTAAACCTCTGGACGGGCGACATCCGAATGAAGTCAGTCAAGACTATGTCGACAATATAGCGTCGAACTATTTGCTAACATCAGGAAAGATGTTCCCTGAAACAGAAGGTTCATAACTCGCCATTCAGGATCAGGTTATACCAACCAAAAAATTACCTGAAATATATTGTCAAAGACCCTCACGTCCAAAACGACAAATGCCGATATGGATGTCAAGTCCAAGAAACGATCCAACATCTTACCGGAGGCTGCCAGGCATTTGCTGCAACTGAATATAAGGAACGGCATGACTCAGTAGGGAAGATCCTTCATCAAAAGATAGCTATTAAACTGGGACTTCTACAAACAAACCATCTCCCATATTATCAATACGTTCCAGAAAGTATGCTTGAGATTGACAACTACAAGCTATACTGGGATCGCACTGTGCTCACAGACCAAACTGTAGCACATAATAGACCAGATCTCGTGCTAGTTAATAAACTAACAAGACAAACAACTCTAATCGATGTGGCGATACCTAACAACAATAATCTGCGTGTTAAGTACAACGAAAAGATCGCCAAGTACAGAGATCTGGAAATACAAATAAGAAGACAATGGAGAATGGAAAGTACCCAGACGATACCTATTATTCTTTCTACCACTGGAGTCATTCCGAAGAACCTCCTAGAAAACATAAAAAAGCTGGGTCTAAATAAACATCTATATAAGGTCATGCAGAAATCTGTGCTACTTTCGACGTCCAGATGCGTGCGAAAATTTTTAGGAGATACACCGACGTACCAAGTCACCTAGGACTCGATAACATGGAAAGAGTCCCCACCAGAGCTCAATCCTTTTGATACCGTAGGTATCTGGGATGAGTGAATTTTCCCCTTAGAGGGAGTGTGAGCCGTATGACTAAATCTGGATATTACCATCAAAACATTAAGGCTATGGGCAAAAATGTCATGTATAAATATCTAAGAGTAAAGCAAGCGCGGAAAATTGGGCGTAAATAAATGAAAATCGAGTTAATTTCAGAGTTCATACCAAGGGTAATACAGCTGCTCTGTTCACATCTTAATAGTAAAAAAATGTTTAAGGCATTAAACACCTACGCATTCTTCGCGTTTAGCTATTCATTTGGGATTATTACCAAAAACTCTTCAGCTAAAAGTACAAACACATTTCACAAGATACAAAAACACCATCCTCGAAGTGCAGTAGAAATAATGACATTACCGCGGTATTTAGGAGGACGAGGACTTATGGATATAAGCGAGCAATTAGAGACACGGATTATTGAGTTAAAAACTTATTTTTAGGTGCAGACCGAGACATCTATTCTTCATCGCGCGATTTGTGCAGTGGATGACGCAACACCGATCAAACTGAGGGAAGGAGAAATGCCCATAAACCATCTTACTAAGAACGAAAAAATGCGTATCTGGATGGGTAAATCTGTGCACGTGCGACATCAAAATGATATCAGTCAAGATTATGTCGACAATATAGCGTCGAACTATTGGTTGACATAAGGAAAGACTTTCCATGAAACTAGCCATTCAGGATCAGGTTATACCAACCAAGCATAACAGAAATATATTGTCAACGACCCTCAGGTCCAAATCGACAAATTTAGGTATGGATGCCAAACCCAAGAAACCAATAGACATCTTTCTGGAGGCTGCCAGGCATTTGCTGCAACTAAATATAAATACCGCGTGCGAAGATATTCCTAACATCGCCCGTTAGCTTTCTAGTACGCTTAGATTTGTTTCCGGACTTCAAGTTTCCGCCTATAAACGTCACTATTAACATATACTGATATATCATTTAATAATTTAGAAAGGCTAGAGGAGGATATTAGCGAGACGCAATTCGGGTTCCGAAATCAAATGTGTACTGGAGAAAGACTATTTGCCATCAACTTATTGATTCAATCTATGTCGGGATGTAAACGTTGATCTACACTTATGCTTTGTTGAGTACGATAAAGTAAGTCATAAAACACTAATATCAATTCTTATAAACAAGCGCATTGACAGTAAAATCATCAATATAGTGCAAACATTATATTGAAACTACACTCACCGGCAAAATTAACGGAACACCTTAAAATTGGGACATGTTCGATGTCTCGAATTTCCTAAACCTGTTGTCCGATTTTAGTGATTTTTTTAGTATGTTATAGGTATATTATTTAAGAATATCGATGTAATAATATTGTTGCTAGACAGGTCAATGTCATTTTATACCGGGTGTAACAATCCTACTGTGTTTTTCCCTTAAAGTTCGGAACACCCTGTGGTAATGCCCCTGCAATATTTCTTATTTATATCAATATTTATATTTGTATTTTATAGACTATATCTACATAGCTTTGAAAGCTCCTTGTCACAAGAAAGCCTTAAATGTCAAAATGTCAAATTAATTTGTTTATTTGTATTGTGTTTTACATTTTACAGTCATTCTGTCTGTTCGTAATAAGTACAAACTTGTATTTAATTGAAATAGACTTAAAGAAGCCGGTCTCAAGTCATATGTGCCAATAAAAGCTCCCAGACTCAAGAGACATCATCGTTCAGCACGACTACAATTTGGTCGAGTACATCAAAATTGGAATGATAACCACTGGAGTCAAATTCTCTTTACGGACGAGAGCCGTTTCTGTGTAAATTACATCGACTAGAGAAAGATTGTATTTACGCCAAGGACCGTACCTTTTGGTGGAGGTTCAATTATGGTGTGGGGCGGTATATGTTTGGGAGCAATAACAGAGTTAGTGGTGATTGATGGTGGAGCATTAACAGCAGATAAGTATATCAGAGATATTCTCCAAGACCATGTGATACCTTTTTCACCATATATTGGCGAAAATTTTATTTTATAGTGTAAGAGTGTAAGTGTAAGATATTTCTTATTACAAGTGGGTATAACAACGATGAATTGGCCAGCTTGTTTCACAGATCTAAACCCGATAGAGGATATGTGGGGCATGCTAGGTAGAAAACTTAGGACAGAGGTTCCTGCTATTCAAAACAGAGAAGAAGTCACAATTGCAAAAGATTGAGGAATGGGAAAGGCTGCCCAACAACTGATCGATAGCGTTATCAGAAGTATGAGAAGACGAATAACTGCAGTTATAAGGGCTCGTAGGGAAACACACGCTATTAAAGCCAAAAAAATGCATAAAAAACAATTTAAGTTCAAACTGTACAATAAAGTTAATGCATTTAAAATCCGTATTTTGTTGAGTCTGACATCTTTGTGTTTTATTTCTTCTTAAACAGGTTTTATATTGTACTACCATTGTAATATAAATTCAAAATACTTCACCAACGTTCGTATTATGATATTATCTAAACAGTATATAGACTAGAGAGAAAATACTCAGATTTTATGGTTGTTCCTTTAAATATGCTGGTGAAACTAAGAGGAAAATGAGCATTTATTGATGAAAAACATGGCTAGTTATTAACGTACCTAACTTTTTTATTATCCAACACAAGCAAATGAATCAAAAAAGAAAATGTTAAGAAAGCCTGAGACTATAATTGAGC